GACCATTTCCTCTTATGAGCATAGACACAAAAATACTTAATAAACTACTTGCAAATTGAACCCAAGAACACATCATGATCAAGTCGCTTCATCCCAGAAGTGTAAGAATAACTCAGTATACAAAACCAATAAATATATAATCCACCACATAAACAAACTGAAATAAAAAAAAGACACTATCATCTCATTAGATGCAGAATAGGCCTTTGGCAAAATACAACACCCCTTCATGATAAGGATCCTGAAGAGAGCAGAGATATAAGGGACATATCTAAATACAATAAAAGCAGTTTACAGTAAGCCTGTAGGCAACATAAAATTAAATGGAGAGATACAGCAATTCTACTAAAATCAGGAACAAGACAAGTTTATCCACTTTCTCCATATCTATTCAATATTAGTGCTTGAAGTCTTAGCCAGAGCAATAAGACAATGGAAGGAGATCAAGGGTATACAAATAAGAAATAAATAAATAAATAAAAGTATCTTTATTTGCAGATGATATTATAGTATATATAACCGACCCTAGAAATTCTATTGGGGAACTCCTACAGCTGATAAACATTTTCAACAAAGTAGCTGGATACAGAATTAACTCACAAAAATCAGTAGCCCTCCTAAAAAAAAACACCTCTCACTATAGCCTCAAATAATAGAAAATATCTTCTTGAGTTAACTCTACCAAACAAGTGAAAAACTTACATGATAAAAACTGTAAGATATTGAAGAAAAAATAGATGAAGATATCAGAAGATAGAAAGATCTCCCATGGTCATGGATCAGTAGGATTAACATAGTGAAATGACCATCCTAAAAAAACAATCTACAGATTCAATGCAATCCCAATCAAAATTTCAGTGCAAATCTTCACAGATCTTGAAAGGACAATTCTTAACTTCATATGGGAAGAAAACCCAGGATAATTAAAACATTCCTGAAAAATAAAAGAACTTTGGGAGGTCTCACCATTCCTGATCTCAAGTAATACTACAAAGCAATAGTAATAAAAACATCATTGTGGTGGCAAAAAAACCCACTTTGATTAATGGAATTGAATTGAAGATCCATACATAAATTCACAGGCCCATGGACTATGATTTTTGATAAAGAAGCAAAGAAGCCAAAATTGTACAATGAAAAAAGAAAGCATCTTCAACAAATGGTGTTGGTCTCACTGGATGTCTGCATGTAGAAGAATGCAAATAGGTCCATACTTATCTGCCCAAAACTCAAGTCCAAGTGGCTCAAAGACCTCAGTATAAAAATCAGATACAATGAACTGATTGAAGAGAAAGTGAGGGATAGTCTTGTACTCACTGGCACAGGAGAAGACTTCTTGAACGGAACATAGATAATGTAGGCAATAAGACCAACAATGAAGAAACGGGACTTCGTGAGATCGAAAAGTTTTTGTAAGGCAAAGGACATCGCCATTTAGACAAAGCAGCAGTCTACAGAATGGGAAAGGATTTTTAGCAACTCACCGTCTGATAGAGAACTAATATCTAAAATATATAAAGAAACTAGGTATCAAAAAACCAAATAATCCCGTTTAAAAAATGGGGTACAGACCTAAACAGAGAATTCTCTTTAGAGGAAATTCAAATGGCTGAGACACACTTAAAAGAACTGTTCAAAATCCTTAGCCATCAGGGAAATGCAAATCAAAACTATGTTGAGATTCCATCTTACACCTGTCAGAATGGCTAAGATCAAAACACAAGTGACTGCTCATGTTGGAGAAGATATGGAATAAGGGGAACACTCATCTATTGCTGGTGGGAGTGTAAACTTGTACAGTCATTATGGAAATTGATATGGCAGTTCCTTAGAAAATTGGGAATCTATCTACTTCAAGATCCATTTATACCTCTCTTGGTCATATACCCAAAACATGCTTCATATTACTACATGGGACACTTGCGCAACCATGTTTATTACTGTTCTGTTCACGATAGCCAAAAACTAAAAGCCAACTATATGTCCCTTAATAGAAGAATGAGTGAAGAAATTGGGGTACATTTTCACAATGGACTGTTCCTCAGCTTTTAAAAAATTGATATCATGAAATTTGTAGGCAAATGGATGGAACTAGAAAAAAAAATCTTTTTGAGTGAGGTAACCCAGGAATATATGATAAATATGATAACACATTCACTGATATGTGAATTCACACACACACACACACACACACACACACACACACACACACACATATATATGATTACCAACTTACAATCTATAGACCCAGAGAGGTTAGGTAAAGAGGAAGGTAAAAGAGGGATTACATGAATCTCTCTGGAAGGGGAAAACAGAATAGATTTTATGTGTGGGCTGGGGGAGGGTTGGGACAGAAACAGGAGAGGAGGATCAGGTGGAAGCGGGGAGGGAAGATAGGGTTTAGGGGAGTGGATGCGGGAGAGACAGCTGGAATTGAGGGGCATTTGAGGGAGTATATGGAAACCTACCGCAGTGGAAACTTTCTAAAATATATCAAGGTGATCCTAAAGAAGTCTCCAAATTAGTGGGCAACAGAGTCCCAATTGGCTATCTCTTGTCACTGAATGAGGCTTCCAGTACCAGGACTGGGCTTCATTTAGTTGAGTTATTGGGCAAGGGGGGGTGGTCTCATAGAAATCCCCAAATTACCCAGGCTGTTGCTATGAAAGGGATTGTTCTCCACAAAGTGATAGTGATGACCCATTTTATAGGGTAACACCAACACAACTCATTGAACATGGAGAAGTCCAGCTGCTGTCTACATGGAGTCTTTATCCCTGTATTCTAGTGTCTCTGGTATAGGAAGGTACTTTGTAGGCTACCAAAAGAGAAAGAGAACACTAACACAGCCACAAAACCTTTGACCTACAACCTGTCTTGCATGAACAATACGCTAGGGCAATGGTGCCCCGGAACTTATGGGAATAACCAACCAATCAATGTCTGATTTCACTAAAGCATACTCCATGAGATAGAACCCATACTGGACATTGCTTGTATGACCCAGAGACTAGATAGCCCAGAGACCTAGGGTAAAACCAAACACTACTTGGTTTTACTACAGTAATAAAATGACCCCTAATGGTATTCTGCTACACTCATAGATCGGTACCTTGTTCAGTCATCATCAGAGAAGCTTCCTCCTGTGCAGATGGGAACAGATGCAGAGACCCACAGCCAGACATTATGTGGAGAGAGAATCCTTGGGACACACAGCTCTAACGGGGATGTTTCCATCAAATCCCTCCCCTCAGAGCTCAGGGATCTCCACAGAAGAGGAGTCAGAAAGAGTGTAAGAGCCAGAGGTGACAGAGGACACCAGGAGAGTGACGCTTTCTGAAACAACTCAGTAAGACTCATTTGAACTCACAGAGACTGAAGCGGGGCTGAGCCAGGTCCTCTGTGCATATGCTACAGCTGAAAGCTTAGGTTTTTTTTTTTTTTTTGAGACAAGGTTTCAGTTCTGGCTGCCCTGGAACTCACTTTGTAGTCCAGGCTGGCCTCTGCCTCCTGAGTGCTGGGATTAAAGGCATACACCACCACCACCACCGGCTTCAGTTTAGTCTTTTTGTAGGTTCCTGGGTGTGTGTGAAAGAATTGGTGTAGCATGAATAATAAAAACCCACAAACAGATTTTGGGGGTTCAAGTTGAAGATCAAAAAAGCAAAACAGCCAAACCACTAGAAAAGTTTTACCTCTGTCAAGGCTGGTTGACTTCAGGGGCCCTGAGCCTCTGTCTCCTTCTGTCTCATATTCTCCTTTAGTGCTGGGATTGAAGGCGTATGACTCCCTACTACTGGGATTAAAGGTATGAGGACCACCACCTGGATCTGTTTCTGCGTTGATCTTGTGTTGCCCAGGGTGGCCTTGAACTCACACAGATCCATCTGCCTCTGTCTCCCAAATCCTGGGATTAAAGGTATATGACACCACTGCCTGGCCTCCAGTGGCTTAGTTTTACCCTCTGATCTTCAGGCAAGCTTTATTTATTAAAACATAAATAAAATATCACTGTAAGTGGGTCTGGGTCTGCAACTGGCCTTTTTTCCTTCTGTTGGATTGTCGTCCAACCTCCGTGTGACTGACGGCTTTTGTTTCATCGTATTCTATTTAATTTTGTCATGCTTGTTTGTTATCTCTAGGAGCCTGTTCTTTTCTAATGAGAGACAGAAAGGAGAGGACCTGGGGGGAGAAGATGTGGGCGGGAACTGGGAGGAGTTTAGAGAAGGAAAGCTAAGCAGGACATATTATATGAACAAAACATTTCTTTTTCAATAAATGGGGGGAAAAAGAAAATATACAGAAGCATTGGTTCTTGTTCCACTTGCTAGTGTTTTCTGTTATATGACTCCAGTGCCTAGCATTCATTAATTAGCTATCCAACAAAACATTTTTGTTTGTTTTTTCAACACAGGGTTTCTCTGTAGTTTTGGAGCCTGTCCTGGAACTAGCTCTTGTACCAGGCTGGCCTTGAACTCACAGAGATCCGCCTGCCTCTGTCTCCTGAGTGCTGGGATTAAAGCACCACCACCGCCCGGCCAAGAAAACATTTTTTTAAGTGCCTACTGTGTCCCAGACAAATTGTGGAGACAAGACCAGCTAAGCTGAGAGGATTAAACAAAGAGATGGAAATACAAAAGAAAAATCAAACCGACATGGTGCTGGAAATGAAAAACTTAAGTCAAATACATAGTTTGGTGGAAAGCCTCACAGACAAAATGATCATGGGGGAGGAGGAGAGTGTAACAGGAATCGAAAGCATTAGTTAGGAGCTGGAATATCAAGTGCAAGATGATTGGTTTATTGGTTTAAAGAAATAAAGCACACAGTTTGGATCCTAAGCTCTTCTTGTAGTTCAATGTTTTGAGTATAATCTAAACAGAAGCACAGGGTGATCTGTTGAAAATAGATCAAAGGGACATGTCAATGACTCCCCAAGCATAATTTCTAAAATCTTATGGGACAGTAGGAGTTGAATTCGAACAAGGCTCAGAACTTACAGGTCTGCAGGCAAAGGAACCAGATCCACATGTGCTGCTGGGCCATCTCCGGTCAGGCTGGAGTCTTCTGGGGGAAGCATGAACACCAGACGCTATCAGCCTGTTTTACTTCACTTTTGGGCTTCCGGTAGCTTGAGAGGAAGTGTAAGTAGGACTGAGAATTTAATCTTTACCAGTGTTTTCCACTATATGACTACAGTGCCTATAAATTGTTAGTTAACTAATTATTCAACAAACGTTTATTAAGTGCCTACCATGAGCCAGACATATTATGGGTGCTGATCATACCAACACCAAAGATGCAATTAACCGCCTTCCTTTTGTGGGGTTTCTATCCTTTTTGGAGGGATTGATAATTACACAGGAAATTCCAGTAAGCGGTGATATGGATTGCAGCAAGAAGAAAAATACAAGGATCTCTGAGAGTGGAGGCGTCTATTCCAGGCTAGGGTGAGTTGGAGGCAGTTTCTGAAAGGAATTGATAATTTAGCAGAATAAATTAGCATTATTAGCCAAGGAGTTAATTGTGTTCTGAATCATGAGACTATCCCTCCCACTGGCCCACTGTCACCTAGGTAAGTTAATTCCCCCACTCATGAATCAGCATCAGTTGTCCTTACAGCTGAACTGCATGCAGGCCTTGGTGGGACAAGACCAGCTAGGCTGAGCCAACGCCAAGACCCAGTCTGACTGCACAATGCGGGTGTGTCAAACGCATTCCGAAAGACACACTCACACACGTTTCCAGATGGCAAGACAGAGTGAGAGCCAAAGCTGGCTCTGAAGTCAGAGGCAAACAAGATCCAGGGTAGGAGTCAGAGACGGAGAAGTGTCAACCAGATTCAAAGCCAGAGCTGGTCCAGACAGGTGCTCACCTATAGAGAGCCCAAGAAGAAGTGCCCAGTCCCAGAGGAACGCCAAGCAGGAGGCAGGGTTCCAGGATCCAGGAAAGGAACGTGAGAGATGCCAGATAATATCCAGCAATAAATGAGCCTATCCCTGGTAGTGACTGCTATTGAAGATGGGTTCCTACTCTCAGAGTAGAGTTAGAGGGATGGAGTTTAGTATCCTCAGCACAGAGGGGAATAAATTATAACTCTACTACATTCCAATCCCTCCGAAACACTGCACTCATTCTCTGAAACAAGAAAAGTGACCTAAGAGAAACTGACAGCTGAGCAAGTTCAGTGCACAACTCACAAATAACATGAAAAAAAAAAATCAAGATAACTTGTCTTGTCCTGGAGAAGAGAGGGTTCAGTGGTTAGCACTCTCTGCTCTTCCAGAGGACCTGGGTTTGATCTCCAGCACCTACAAGTGTCTGGAACTCCTATTTCAGGGGATCAAACACTGTCTTTTGGTCTCTGAAGGCACTGAACACACGTGGTACACAGACATGCAAAACAATCATACCTATAAAATAAAAATAAGGGAAAAACCCATTTCTTCCTTAAACTACACACCCCAGAGTAATGACTCCTGATCAAAGTGACTTAGAAACAATTTTTAACAGAATGATTATGAATATGTTCTCATTTTCTTGACAGAAAACCAGACAGGAGGACCAGTGGAATGTAACAAAAGACACAGAGATAAATCCACACAGCTATGGTCACTTCATCTTTGTTGATGGTGTCAAAACCACCCAGATGTTGTTCTTCTCAAAGATTTTCACTCACACAAAAATAAGTGTGTGCTGGCTGGTTTCATGTCAGCTCGACACAGGCTGGAGTTATCTGAAAGGAGGGAACCTGGACTGAGGAAAGGCCTCCATAAGACCCAGCTGTAAGACATTTTCTTAACTAGTGATCGAAGGGGAGGGTCCAGCTCTTTGTGGGTGGGGCCACCCCAGGGCTGGTGGTCCTGGGTTCTATAAGAAAGTAGGCTGAGCAAGCCACGGGGAGTAAGCTAGTGCAGCATGCCACGGTCTCTGAATCAGCTCCTGTCTCCAGGTTCCTGCCCTGTTTGAATTACTGCGATGTAGAAGCATAAGCCAAGCAAACCCTTTCCTCCCCAATTTACTTTTGGTCACAGGTGCTTCATCACAGCAATAAAAACCCTAATTAGGACACAGTAACAATAGTATTTATCATTTTAAAGGTCTCTAAGATCTCCCTGGGCCATAACTCCTAGAGGTAACCCACCATTGGTTCCGGATTTTTCATTTAACAACTTTATAGCTTTTGGGAGCCCCTATCCCAGTCCGTGTATGATACCTTTAAAATAATTGATACAAAACAGCTATTGTTTTTACTGATTTTTTAAAAAGACGTTTCTTTAATTTTGTCAGATACTCAGAAGTTAGCATTAAAAAAAAAAACGACAAAACAACCCCAACAACAAGAAAAAACCAAACTCATGTAATAATACCTCTTAAATGGTGAACGGGTTCTCCAAAACTCCACTGTAGTTCATTTGACTCATCAGTTGATACGAGTTAGCAGCTAAGGTAATGTGTTAGCAAGTAGAGAATGAAAATTTATTCCCTCCTCAGTCGTCTGGTTTCCTTATCCTGGCACACCTCTATGGGACTTCCATGCATCTCCTCGCCTCCGTGGACTTAGTGGGGCCAGCTCCAGCAGTTTAGGTCGGGGCAGAGGAAGAGCAGTTGGGTTAGCCTGCCACCACTGTGCCTGGCTGGGTCTGATAGGCTCTTGGTCAGAACTGCAACTGCAGCCACTCCCATGACCTCTCCATCAGCTCCATCCGACTTCTGGGACCGTTACAGGCCAGGCAAACAGTTTCCATCCCCAGCACATATTTTTTTGGTATGAGAGAGAGGTACACAATTTAATTTACTCTGGAATTATTGTCCTTCCTCAGGACAAGCTTAGTCCTTTCTTTAGTGTTGTTTTAACACCTATGCCTTCTATCAGTACAACTTTTCTTCATCTTTTTTTTTTCTGTAGGGACACATGTAGATCTTGTACATGTGTCTTTCCTCCCTCCCTCCCTCTCTCCCTCCCTCCCTCCCTCCCTCCCTCCCTCCCTTTTTATTTATTGTAGATTAGAACTTTATAAACCCAATATACATGCCAGTCCAAGTCATTTAGCTCCACCAAATCCTCCCCTAGCTCATAAAATCCATGTTCCAAATGGGGCTCTGGGAACCCCTTTCCTCAATGCTCTGGGGAACAACATTCTCTACTGGGCACCATGCACCACCTCTGGCATGGTTAGTTTCTTTCTTAACACTTATCTCAGTTAACTGTCTCCACTCTCTCTGACTCTCCCATAGGTTCCCAGGATTCCAGAATGGGCTCTTTATTACAGATGTGATATGCGTTCTCTTTCCTTTTAGTGGGTGTGGAGTTACTTATATAGCGTGGATGACTGACTTAACAGCAGCTGATTCCAGCCCCGTCCTAAGCGATGATGTTAAAGCTGCAGCCCTGGAGCTCCCTACATGACTTGCATGTAGTTGCACAGGTGAGAGTCTGCCCCACCCCCAGGAGTTGTTTATTGTTGCTTTAAGCCGGGGGGTGGGGGGGACAGGTAAGTAGCCTACAGACTGGGAGAAAAATCTGCCGTCTACAGTCCAGGTGAAGGGTGAATATCTAGAATGTTTAAAAAGCACTTCAGAAACCAAACAATGAAATCAATACTATGCCTTTCAATAAATGTGCAAATGAACTGAACAGATAGTTCTCAAAAGAAGTATAAATGGCCAACAAATGTTTCGAGGAGTGTTTAATATCCTTAGCCATTAGGCAAATACAAACTATAACTACTTGGAGGCTCTGTCTCACTCCAGTCAGAAGGCTATCATCGAGAACACCAACGGTAAAAAGTACTGTGAGCAGGGAAGGTAAGAGCGATGGATGTTTGAGGGCCGGTGGGACTGTAGGTGGTGCAATCACTGTGGAAATTTGGGGGAGCCTTTCTCAAACAGGACTAGCAGATGAGCCAGCATTCCACTCCTGTGCACACGCCCAAAGAACTCAGTGCTCTACTGTAGAGATACTCACACATCCGTGTTTCCTGATGCTCTCTTTACAGTCGCCAGGAAATGGAAGCATCCTAGAAGTCCATCAGCTGATGAATGGCCAATGAAAATGTAGTGTATGTATGCAATGTATTCAGAGGTGAGGAACAATGTGAGGGAACGTATGGAACCGGAGAATGGAATTACATGAGGTAACAGGCACTGAAATACAAACATAATGTGCTCTTTCTTATTTTATTTTTAAATTGTTTTTATTATTTGCATAACATTTCCATTGTATTAGGTATAATAAACAAAATTTAAAAATTTCAATACAATTTTTTTGGGTAGATTCCTGCTGGGAATTCCTTTGCCCGCCAAAGAGCAGGCACTGACCAGTCAAAAAGACACAATTATTACTCATTGGGTGCACAGGTTCATTTCCAGAACTGCAGGAAATAATTCCATATGAGAAACAGCTGAAGGAATTGGGGCTGACTTCAGCTCTTACCTGAAGCTCCTCGATTCATGACAGCCATGTCACAACAGATAGTAGAGCTCAACCCAAGAAGGGATGGGCCTCTGACATGAACGCTCTGGTGGGACTTTCTCATTTTGTGGTTGAATTTTGGATATTTCAAAATAAAAATGAAAAAAAAATTCTACTCCTGTTTTTTTGTGAGATCCTCCCAAGAATCCGATGGCCTTTGGGACTGTTTATCTAAGAGATACTGCTTGTCTGCTGCAAAACAGCTTGGCACGTGGTAACATGATAAGTCCAAGTGTGTGTGGGGGGCGGGGGCTGTGTCAATTTTGATGTTAGCTTGCGAGCTGAACTGAAGGAACAACTCCCCGAGCTACAGAGTGAGAACCTGCCTTAAAGACGAACAATAAAAGCGTTGAAAGATTTGTATAATTGTCCCTTACCTCTCCTCCATCCTTTTGAGACGTGACCTTGTTATTACAGCCCAGGCTGGCCCAGAACTTGTAACCGTTCTGCCTTCGCCTCCCCAGTACTGGGTTCACAGGTGTGTCATCACCTCTGACCCCCTAACTTACTTTCTGATTTCATTCTTATCCAATAGGGATCCCCGGTCTTCATCTCTGTGTCGGGAACTCTGTTGGTCAGTTCTCCGTTGTAGTGGTTTGAATAAGAATGGACCCCATAGGCTCTATAATTGAATGCTTAGATGCCAGGGTGTCTATCACTTTAATAGGGTGGCCCTGTTGGAGAAGTGTGTCACTTGGGGTGGGCACTGAGGTTTTAAAAGCCCCATGCCGGTGTTCCCCCTCCCTCTCCACCATGGATCAGGATGTAGCTCTCACATATTTCTCCACCACCATGCCAGTGTCTTAGTTAGGGTTTGTATTGCTGTGAAGAGACACCATGACCGCAGCAATTCTTATTAAGGAAAACATTTAATTTGGGGTGGCTTACAGCTTCAGAGAGCTAGTCCATTATTGCCCTGCCAAGAAGCAAGTCAGCATGCAGGCAGACACGGTGCTGGAGAAGGAGCTGAGAGTTCTACATCTTGATCTGCAGGCAGCAGCAGGAGACTGTAAGCCACACTGTGAAGTGTTAGGTGCTAGATGAAGCATTAGTCTGATTAATCTTGATAAAACCAGGAGTCGGATATTGGGGGAAAATCCTGGAAGATCAAAGAGCTGGGAGCAGATGCCAGTTGCTTCCTTCCTTTTCCTTCCACAGTCGAGGAAGCTGAGATCCTGTCTACCTGCCACCTTATCACTTCCTGTCTCCACCTCCTGAGTGCTGGATGTGTGCTACCACTACCCAGCTTCTATGGTTAACTAGAGACTAGCTCCACCCTCTGATCTCCAGGCAAGCTTTATTTGTCAGAACACATACAAAATATCATATAACAGTAGGTATAGCCTGAGCATAGGAGGCCCCAAAACCTGCCCCCACAGTGACACACTTCCTCCAACAAGGCCACATCTACTCCAATAAGGCCACACCTGCTAATAGTGCCACACCCTACGGACCCAACTTTCATACACATGAATCTTTGAGGGCCATTTCTGTTCTAACCACCACACTGCCATGCTTGCCACCATGTTTCCTGCCATGATAATAGTGGACTAAACCTCTGAAACTATAAACAAGAAGACTGCAATTAAATGCTTTCTTTTATACAAGTTGTGTTGGTCATGGTGTCTGTTCACAGTGATAGGACAGTGATTAAGACATCCATTTAGAGAAATAAAATGCTGGTATATGCTTGTGATGAAAGGGGATACTAAATTAAAAGTTATTATTTAATGTTTTGAAATGATGATATATTGGGTAAAAAAAACAAGGTTTTGTTATAATGGCAAACTGATAAAATGGTTAAATAGTTAATCAAAATTTTTTAAAAAATAATTTCTAGGAACTAGAGAGATGGTTCAGCAGTTAAGAATATGTGCTGCTCTTGCAGAGGACCCGATTTCAGTGCAACAGCCAAGCCAGACAGCTCACAACCACCTGTAACAACTCCAGATCCAGGGAAGCTGATGCCTGCTTCAGGCCTCAGCAGATGACATCTTTATCTATTACACATAGAACTGTACACATGCACAAAATTACAAATAAAATAAATCTTTAATTTTTTTTCTAAAAAGAAACCTAAGATATCTCTTTGTCTTTGTCATGTGTATGTGTGCACATGTATGTGTGTATGAAAGTATAGGTATGTGTGTGTCCATGTGCAACAGGCATGTGAAGGTCAGGGGGCAACTTTGAGTATTGGTCCTCAGGAGCCTTCTTCTTTTGAGATAGAGCCTCTAATTGACCTGGAACTTTACTGTGTCACCCAGGCTAACTGGCCCATGAACTTCAGTGACCTCACCATCGCTGAGATTAAAGGTGGGGGCTACCTCTCCCAGCTTTCCATGTGTTTTCTGGGGATCCAAATTCAGGTCCTCATGTTTGCAAGGCATGTGATTTACTGAGCTCTCTGCCAAGCTCAACATCTACTTTTACTGAGGTAAAATAAGACAAAAATTCTAATTATTACTCTTAATATATTAGGCTATATTTAGGCAATTGGCTGTCTGGAAACCAAAAATAATAATTTCTGGTGCATGGTCACAGAATTTCACCAATATTCTACTTTTATCATCTCTAGTACCTTGTCATTACAGTTTATTCTAAATAATATATAATTTTATTTTATTTAACCTAATTCTCTTGTAAACTAGTTGCCTATAAACATTTTCATGTTCACATTTTATGGTATTAAAAATCATTGGGATAATTAAATGATTCCTCTTGGTATTTTTCTCTAAGGCAATAATCTCTCTATAAGTATTCATCTGTAAGATGAGGCTCTGAAAACAAAACAAAAACAACAGCAAAAGTCTGCTGGATGGATAATGCTTTCTGTCATATTCTGGTTTCTCCTAAAGTGTTCTTATTTTATTTTATTATTTTCATAATGAGCTATTATAAACTGAGTGGTTTCTATTTGTCACAATTTCCAAGCCCAGAAAGTTGAAGAACAAGGTTCTGGCTGATTCAGGGTCTGGTGAGAGCCTCATTCCTCATAAAATGTCCCTGTCATT